AGTCTGCTTCTTTTTTGTTATATTCACTAGTTTGTTGTATTTTTTAGATTCCACATGTAAGTGATATCACACAGTATTCGCCTTCTTTATTTTATTTATTTCACCTAGCATTATATCCTCCAAAAGTCCATCCATGTTGTTGCAAATGGCAAAATTTTATTCTCTTTATGGCTGAATAGTATTATATTGTATGTATGTACCACATCTTCCTTATTCATCCATCTATTGATGGACTCTTAGGTTGTTTCCAAATCTTGGCTATTGTAAATAATGCTGCAGTGAACATGGGGGTGCATGTATCTTTTTGATTTTGTTTTCTTCAGAAAAATACTCAGAAGTGAAATAGCTAGATTGTATGGTAGTTCTATCATTAATTGTTTGAGGAAACTCTACACTATGTTTTCATAGTAGCTGTACCAAATTGCACTCCCACCAAGAGTGCATAAGGTTTCCCTTTACTCCACATCCTGACCAACATTTGCTATTGGTTGTATTTTTGATAGTAACCATTCTGACAGGTGTGAGGTGATATCTCATTGTGGTTTTCATTTGCAGTTTGCTGATAATTAGTGACCTTGAGCATATTTTCATGTGTCTGATGGCCATCTTTATTTCTTCTTTGGAAAAATATCTATTCAAGTCCTCTGCCCTTTTTTACTTGGTTGTTTTTTTTGAGGTTGAGTTGTATGAGTTCCTTGTATATTTTGGATACTGATTTCTTTTCCAATATATAGTTTGAAAATATCTTCTCACATTCAGTAGGCTGCCTTTTCATTTTTCTGAAATTTTCTTTCACTGTGTAAAAGCTTTTTAGTTTGATGTAGTCTTATTTATTTATTTTTGCTTTTGTTTCCCTTGCCTGAGGAGACAAATCCAAAAGAATATTGCTAAGACTAATGTCAAATAGCATACTGCCTGTGTTATCTTCTAAAGGTTTTATGGTTTAAGGCCTTACATTTATGTTTTTAATCCATTTTGAGTATATTTTTTATATGGCATGAGAAAGTAGTCCAGTTTGATTATTTTGTAAGTAGCTGTCTGGTTCTCCCAATACCATTTATTGAAGAAGCTGTCTTGTCTCCATTGTATGTCCTTGCCTCCTTTGTTGTAGACTAATTGAACATATAAACATGGGTTTATTTCTGGGCTCTTAATTTTGTTCCACTGATCTATGTTTTCATGCCAGTACCATACTGTTTTGATTACTGTAGCTTTGAGGTATAGTTTGAAATGAGGGAGTGGGATACATCCAGTGTTGTTTTTCTTTCTCAAAATTGTTTAGATTATTCAGGGTCTTTTGTGTTTCCAGGCAAATTTTAGAATTATTTGTTCTAGTTCTGTGGAAATTACCATTGGTATTTTGATAGGGATTACACTAAAACTGTAGATTGCTTTGGGTGGCATGGACATTTTAACAATATTAATTCTTCCAATTCCTTAGCACAGTATATATTTCCCTTTGTATGTTGTTATCTTCAATTTCTTTCATCAACGTTTTATAGTTTTCCAAATGGGTCTTTTACCTCCTTGGTTAGATTTATACCTAGGAATTTTATTAGTTTTGATGCCACTGTAAATGAGATAGTTTTCTTAATTTCTCTTTCTGATAGTTTGTTCTTAGTGTACAGAAATGCAACAGATTTCTGTATGTTAATTTTTTATCCTACAACTTTACTGAATTCATTGAAAGTTCTAGTAGTTTTTTGGCAGTGTGTTTAGAATTTTCTATATATAGTATCTATACTATATAGAATTTTCTATATATAGTATCATGTCATCTGCAAACAATGACAGTTTTACTTATTCCTTCCAATTTGAATTCTTTTATTTCCTTTGCTAGTCTAATTGCCGTGGCTAGGACTTCCAGTACTATGTTGAATAGGAGTGGTAGATTGAGCATGCTTTTCTTGTTACTGATCTTTGTGGGAAAAGTTTCAACCTTTCACTGTTGAGTATGATGTTAGCTGTGCATTAGTTATTTATGCCTTTATTATGTTGAGGTATATTACTTCTACACCCATTTTGTCGAGAGGTTTTAAATCATAAATTGGTGTTGAATTTTGTCAAAAGTTTTTCTCCATCTGTTTAGATGATCATATGATTTTTACTCTTCCATTTGTTAACGTGGTGTATCCTATTAATTGATTTGCCGATATTAAACCATCCTTGCATCCGGGGGATAAATCTGGGATGAATCCCACTTGATCATGTTGTTTGATCCTTTTAATGTATTGTTGAATTCAATGTGCTAAAATTTTGTTGAGGATTTTTGCACCTATGTTCACCAGAGATATGGGCCTATCATTTTCTTTTTCTGTGGGGTCTTTGTCTAGTTTTGGTATCAGGGTAATGCTGGCCTCTTGCAATGAGTTCAGAAGCATTCCTTCCTCTTCAATTTTTTTTTTGGGGGGGAGGAATAGTTTGAGAAGGATAGGCATTAACTCTTCTAAATATTTGAGAGAATTCACCTGTGAAGCCAACTGGTCCTGAACTTCTGTTTGTTTTATTACTGATTATTTTTCATTACTGCTAATAAGTCTGTTAATATTTTCTATTTCTTCCTGATTCAGTCTTGGGAGATTTATGTTTCTAGGAACTCATCCATTTCTTCTAGGTTGTCCATTTTATTGGTGTATAATTGTTCTTAGCAATCTCTTATGATCCTTTCTATTTCTATAACATGGGTTGTAACTTCTTTTTCATTTCTTATTTTATTGATTTTGGACCTCTCTCTTTTTTTAATTTCTTATTTTATTGATTTGGGACCTCTCCTTTTTTCTTGATGAGTCTGTCTAAAGTTTTATCAATTTTGTTTATCTTTTCAAAGATCAGCTCTTAGTTTCATTGATTTTTTTGTCTCTTTTTTAGTCTCTATTTCATTTATTTCTCCTATGTTCATTATTATTGCTTTCTTCATACTAACATTAGATTTTTGTTGGCATTTCTTTTTCTAGTTCCTTTAGGTGTAAGATTAAGCTGTTTCTCTGGGATTTTTCTTCTTTCCTGAGGTAGGCTTGTATCTCTATAAACTTCCCTCTTACAACTGTTTTTGCTGTGTCCCATAGATTGTGGATTGTTGTGTTTCTATTTTCATTTGTGTGATTTCCTCTTTGATTTCTTCAGTGACTCATTAGTTATTTAGTATATATAACTGTATATATTTAGGTGCTCCCATGTTGGATTTAAATATATTTATAAATGTTATATCTCCTTATTGCATTTATCTCTTTATCATTATGTAATGTCCTACTTTGTCTCTTGTTACAGTCTTTGTTTAAAAGTCTATTTTATCTGATATAAATATTGCTACCCTGGCTTTCTTTTCATTTCCGCTTGCATGGAATACCTTTTTGCATCCCCTCACTTTCAGTCTTTGTCTATCTTTAGACCTGAAGTAAGTCTCTTGTAGGCAGCATACATATGGGTCTTATTTTTGTATCCATTCAGGCACTCTGTGTCATTTGATTGGAGCATTTCATCCATTTACATTTAAAGTAGTTATTGATAAGTATGTATCAATTGCCATTTTGTTAATTGTTTTCAGTTCATTTTTATAATTCTTTATTGTTCTTTCCTTTTTCTTTTGCACTCTTCCAATGTGACTTGATGCTATGTTTAGTGTTATTTTTGGATTCCTTTCTCTATATTGTGTGTATATCTATTATAGATTTGTGTTTACCATGTGGTTTATATATAACAATATATATATATATACACACACACACACGATAATTATACTTTACTGATCTCTTAAGTTCAAATGCATTTTAACAGACCTGCACCCCCACCCAACATTTAATATTTTTTATTTCACATTTTGCATTTAAAAAAATATCCCTTAACTACTTATGGTGGATTAGATGATTTTACTACTTTTGTCTTTTAACCTGCCTACTAGTTTTGTGAGTGATTGATCTACCACCTTTACTGTGTATTTTCCTTTACTAATGAGATCTTTACCTTCATAATTTTCATATTTCTGTTTGTGGTCTTTCTTTTCCACTTAGAGAACTCCCTTTAACATTTATTGTACAGACATTTTAGTGGTACCAAACTCTTTTAGATTTTGCTTGTCTTAAAACTCTCTCTCCTTCAAATCTGAATGTTACCCTTGTTGGGTAGAATATTTTTCATTATATATTTTTTTCCTATTATCACTTTAAATATAGTGACATAACCACTTTGAAAATATTTGGAAAGAAAGAAGGAAAACATTGAAAATATATCTTGTTGGTTAAATTTTCCTTTTTAACTTGCAAGTTAAATTTTCCTCTTTTGTCACATAAATAATATTTTTAAAATATTTTGCTTGATCATGAGAAGCAAATATTTTTTAGAAATGTAATCATAGCTGTGCCTATAGTGCAACATAATAAAGCACTTTAAATGTCAAAAATTAAGTAAATCATTTCTTGTAAAATGACTCAAAAAAATCCATCAGCTAAACCTACAAATTTTCAGAGCTCATATTTTATTTTGCTAGATTTTAAAATAAATCAAGTATATCACTATATACATTGATTGCTCAGAGAAAATTCTGTGTCCTGCATTATCTACATCTCTCAGGCAACACTGATTTGGAGTTCAGCACACACATCTGAATTGTCCAGATAATTGCTGCAATTTCCTATTTTACTACAGTAACATAAAAATGGACTTAGAACAATTTTTAAATTCTTAGATTTCTGAGATGAAATCTAAGAAACAAGGTAAAATTCTACTTTCTTATTAATGGCAGAATTAGAATTATTTATAACCTATGCTTTGTTTTAATTCTGCAAACTCTTTATGAGAACTCCCTACAGAAGATCTTTATTTTCCAGTTCAAAATTCAGTTTTTCACAGCATTTCAATTGTTAGAGGCTATCTGAGAACTGAACATAGGCGTGTTACAAAATGTGTCCTCTGCAGCTTTACTCCATCTGTTTCATTGGTATGTACTTGTTCATGCCCTCTCTACTTTGTTTACAGAATGTAGTGATTTAAAAAAAGTTCCTTACTTGGTATTATGTGTATCAATGGTATGGAAGAGGTCACGTAACTCTTCTCCACTCAGAACACCATCTGCAAAATATGCTTTGAATTCTTCAAAGGACAATTTTCCATCATCTAAAATGGTAAGAACAAACAAAAGAGAAGCAAATCATTTCAATTTTGTATGTTATTATATCTTTTAATTTTTAACATTTTGCTCAAATGCTTGAACAGGTTTGTTTGTGCATGTATACATGTATTCAAAAAGGAAGAACAATTTCAGGTGTTTAAAATAAAAATAATTACCCACCCAGACTGAAGAATGGTCACAGGCCCCCACCTCCTCCTTCCCAGACCCAAGGAGTGGTCATAGGTCTCTGCTATCTCCCTCTTGGAATCCAGGAGTAGTTGTGGGCTCCTGCCACCTCCCTCCCAGATACCAGGAGTCATTGCAAGCCAAGAGTGGTTGCAAGCCACCAGTGCCACCCTTGCAGACCCCAGGAGTGGTTGAGAGCCCCCACTGCCACCTGCCCAAACTCCAGGAGTGGTTGTGAGCCACCTCTGCTCCCATCCTGTGTCCCAGGGCCATTCCTAAGCCATTGCCACCACTGAGAACTCCAGGACTGGGCACCAGCAGCCACATCTGCATACCACCTATCAAGGGGATAATGACCAGCACATGCTGAGGAAAGAGGTGCCAGGCATGCATACTAAAAAAAGCCCTCAGACCAAAAATACTAAATCCATACAAGCTACACAGGAATGCTCCCATGTATAAAGAGCCCTCCAAGACCAGAGTACATAATTGCTTCTCCTAAACTCACAGAGAGAAATAAAAGTAAAATGAAGCAGAGGAACCACTCCCAGTTAAAAGACCAAGAGCATTCCCCTGAAAGAACAAACAATGAAGCAGACCTATTCAATATGATAGACACTGATTTAAAACAGGAGATAATGAAAATACTGAAGGAATTAAGAAGGGGTATCAATGGAAATGCAGAGTACAGAAAAAAGAAACTAGAAAGATGAACCAAGAAAAATTAGAAAACTCATTTGCCAAGATAAAAGCTGAGCTAAAGTCAATGAATAGCAAAATAAATAATGCAGAAGAACAAATAAGTGACTTGGAATAATAGAATAAGGAATAATGGAAATCGTCCAATCAAGACAGAAAGCCAAATTTAAAAAAAAGAAGAAAGCAATACAAGAGACCTATGGGATAATATAAAGTATGCCAACCTATGCAAAATAGGGATTCCAGGAGGGAAAGAAAGCAAAAAGGGATCAAAAATGTGTTTGAAGAAATTATGGCTGAAAACTTCCCAAATGTAAAGAAGGAAACAGATATCCAGGTACAGGAAGCACAGAGGGTCCCAAACAAGATAAACCCAAGCAGACCTACACTAAGACATACTATAATAAAAATGTCAAAAGCTAAAGACAAAGAGAAGATTCTAAAGGCAGTAAGAGAAAAGCAAAGAGTTAATTACAAGGGAACCCCACTAACACTATCAGCTGATTCCTCTACAGAAACGTTGTAGGCCAAAAGCAAGTGTCAAGATATATTTAAAGTCCTGGAAGGGAAAAATTTGCAAACTAGAATACTCTACACAGCAAGATTATCCTTTAGAAGAGGAGAGATAAAAAACTTCCCAGACAAGCAAAAACTAAAAGAATACAGCAATACTATACTTATCCTAAAGGAAATATTGAAAGCTCTTCTCTAAATAGAAAAGAAGTAAGAATCTATAAGAAAAAGAAAATTACAATTGGAAAATAATCACTTAAAGAAACCAGTACACAGATTAAAACATTTTAATGAAATGTTTTAATCAAAATTAATCAGAATGTTTTAAATTTTAATCAAAATATTTTAAAATCAAAAATATTTTCTGTGAAAGTGATGACAACCACAATGAATAGCAAAAAGAAGAACATGAAGATGTAAGAGAGGACATCAAAATCATAAAATGTGGGGGAGGAGAGTAAGAAAATGTGGATTTTTTTTTCCCTAGAATGTGTTTGAGCCTATATGACTACCAGTCTAAGGCAACTATATATAGGAAGGAGTTAACATACGTGAAAAACAGTGTAACCACAAGTCAGAAACACACAATAGATTCACAAAAACCAAAAAGAGAACATAAATATAATACAAAAGGAAAATCATCAAATGATGAAAGGAAAAACAAAAGGAAAAAGAAACGGACAAAGAAGAAATATAAAATCAATGGGAAAATAAGGTTTTAAATGGCAATAAATATATATCTATCAATAATTACCTTAAATGTTAATGGACTAAATGCTCCAGTCAAAAGACAGAGTGGCAGGTTGGATAAAAAAACAAGAGTGTACAGTATGCTGCTTACAAGAGATGCACTTTAGGGCAAAGAACACACATAGATTGAAAGCCAGGGGATGGAAAAAGATATTTCATGCAAATGGAAATGAAAAGAAAGTGGGGGTCCCAATACTCATATCAGACAAAATAGACTTTAAAACAAAGGCCATAAAGAAAGATAAAGAAGGACACTATATAATGATAAAAGGATCAATACAAAAGGATTTTACACTTATCAACATATATGTACCTAAAATAGGAGCACCCAAATACATAAAGCAAATACTAACAGACATAGAGGGAGAAATTGACAGGAATACAATAATAGTAGGAGACTTTAACACCCCACTCACATCAATGGACAAATCTTCCAGACAGAGAATCAATAAGGCAACAGAGATCCTAAGTGATGCAATAGGGCAGTTAGACTTAATTGATATTTTCACAACATTACATCCAAAAAACCAGATTACACATTCTTTTCAAGTGCACATGGAACATTCTCTAGAATTAACCACATACTAGGGCACAAAACAAGCCTCTACAAATTTAAGACTATAGAAAATATCTCAAGCAACTTTTCTGACAAAAACAACATGAAACTAGAAATTAACCACAGAAAAGGAAATGAGAAAAAAATGATTCCATGGAAACTAAACAACATGCTTCTAAAAAACCAATGGGTCAATGATGAAATCAAAGAGGAAATTTAAAAATACCTTGAGACAAATGACAATGAAAACACAGCCATACAAAGTCTATGGGATACAGCAAAAGCAATTTTTAGAGGGAAGTTTATAGTGATACAGGCCTTCCTCCAAAAAGAAGAAAAATCTCAAATAACTTAACCAACCACTTAAAAGAATTAGAAAAAGAAGAAAAACAAAACCTGAAGTCAGAAGAAGGAAGGAAATAATAAAAACTAGAGAGGAAATGAATAAAATAGAAATTTAAAAAATAGGACAAAATCAGTAAGACCAGGAGTTGATTCGTTGAAAGGATAAACAAGATTGACAAACCTCTGGCCAGGCTCACTAAGAAGAAAAGAGAGAAAACCCAAATAAACAAAATAAGAAATGAAAAAGGAGACATAACAATTGATACTACAGAATAACAAAAAACCATAAGGGAATACTATGAATAATTATATGTCAAAAATTTGGTGACCTAGAAGAAATGGGACAAGTTTCTAGAAACATACAGCCCTCCAAAATTGAATCAAGAAGAAATAGATAATTTGAACAGACTGGTCACTAGAACTGAAATAGAGTCTGTAATTTAAAAACTCCCTACAAATAAAAGTCCAGGACCAGATGGCTTCACAGGTGAATTCTAGCAAACATACAAAGAAGAATTTATATCAATTCTTCTCAAATTCTTACAGAAAATTGAAGAGCAGGGAACACTCCCAAGGACATTTTAATGAAGCCACCATATCACTGATAATAAAACCAGACTAAGACACCATCAGAAAAAAAAAAATTACAGGCCAATATTTTTGATGAATATAGATGCGAAACTTCTCAACAAAATATTAACAAACCAAATCCAACAACACATGAAAATGATCATAACCGTGACCAAGTGGGATCCATCCCAAGTTTACAAGGATGGTTCAACACACACAAATCAATCAATGTGATACACCATATAAACGAAAGAAAAAACAAAAACCACATGATCATCTCAATAGATGCAGAAAAAGCATTTGACAAAATTCAACATCCATTCATGACAAAAATTCTTACCAAAGTGGATGGAGAGGGAACATATCTCAAAATAGTAAAAACTATTTATGACAAACCCACAGCCAATATAATAGTCAAAGGTGAAAAGCTGAAAGCCTTCCTGCTAAAATCTGGAGCAAGACAACATTGCCCACTCTCACCTCTTCTATTCAACACAGTATTGGGAGTCCTAGCCACAGCAATCAGACAAGAAAAAGAAATAAAATGTATCCAAATTGGAAGGGAAGAGGTAAAATTGTAATTATATATAGATGATACACTGTATGATACCCTAAAGACTCCACACAAAAACTGCTAGAACTGATAAATGAATTCAGTAATGTAGCAAGATACAAGATTAACATACAGAAGTCAGTTGCATTTCTTTACAACAACAATGAAATATCAGAAAGAATGTAAAAAGAAAACAACAAACAAAAAACAATACTTTCTAAAATCACAACCCCAAAAATAAAATACTTAGGAATAAACCTCACCAAGAAGGTGAAAGACTCATAAGCTGAGAGCTATAAAACATTAATAAAGGAAATTGAAGATGATTCAAAGAAATGGAAAGATATCACATGCTCTTGGATTGGAAGAATTAATATTGTTAAAATGGCAATAGTACCCAAAGCAATCTACAGATTTAACACAATCTCTATCAAATTACCAATGGCACTTTTCACAGAACTAGGACAAATAACCCTAAAATTCATCTGGAACCATAAAAGACTCAGAACTGCCAAAGCAATCCTGAAAAAAGAACCAAGCAGGTGCTCGCTTCGGCAGCACATATACTAAAAAAAAAGAACCAAGCAGGAGGCATAACCATCCCAGACTTCAGAGAATACTACATAGCTACAGTAATAAAACAGTGTGGTACTGGCACAAAAACAGAATATGGATCAATGGAAAAGAAGAAAGAGCCCAGAAATAAACCCACACACCACAGTCAATTAATCTTCGACAAAGGAGGCAAGAAGGTACAATGGGAAAGGAGTCTTTTCAGCAAAGGGTGTTGGGAAAGTTGGACAGCTGCATGTAAATCAATGAAGTTAGAACAC